GTCATAAAAGTTTACACGCTTCTGCCGCTGTCTTTAATGGTGGGTCTTAAGAAGGAATCCGAAACGTCAGGCGAATAGTGTTCTTGTACCGGCGATCGCATCTGCTTCTTCTCACTTACCCCCCGAGACTCGCATTATCGCTTTTATTGGCAATACCATACCTGCTTATTCGATTTAAATAGATTACATTTAAGTTATTTTTCTGCTGAATTTAGTAAGATGCTTAAGGTACGAGTTAACGTGAAGGATACATATAAGGTTAAAGTTGAGTTCAAGAATAGGGCTAGGTAAGGTGTGGTGGGGTCAAGTTTGCCTATCTTGGATCGTGTCACCTAACCCAAGTTCCTTTAACCAATAACCTCGGATTTTCTGTTCTCTGGCCGTTTACATGCCTTTGCTTTAAATATTTCATATTGCGCGTCTTTTCCAGCACCTCGCTGGAGTAATAAAGCAAACTTGTGGTAAACATACGAATATTCGCAATACCGTCTACATACTCCGTTACTTGCCTTGTTGATCTGCCTGACTGATAGAACGAGTATTATCACCCTTTCCGTTTTTATAAGAGTCCCCGTGCTCTATTATCTCCTGGGAAATACATATAAGATAATTTCCGAATTTTTAATATGAAATCGAATTTCATTTGAAATATGTCCAAACCACGGAGCCAAGGATTGTTCGTGCGTTTAGAGTGATGAAGATCATTATAGTCTGGAATGTTTGAAGATTGTCGATCCGTGATAGAGTTTGCTTATAGTGAATGACACTTGAGCTGCATCCACTCCGAGTTATTCTTCTATCATCACAATGTCCCATCGTCAAACCCACGTCGAACGTACAGGAAATGCACTTTGTACGCAGTGCTTGAAGGAGCTGATCAGGCCGCCTATGATGTCACGTATAACCTGCTTCCTTGGCTGCACAATAATCGGACTCCCTTGTGGGCGATATTTTCGAATCTCACGCACGTGAAACGTAACAAATTTTACAGTAAGAACGGATTCCTGCAAGTTGAACCCCGCCCTAGAGGCGGAATAAATTATTTGGCCAAATAGTGACCCTGAATGCCACGACTCTTAACGCATCACTGTAGTTCAATAGTGCGTTTTGTTGTTTATGGTCAGAAAATTAGGCTTAGGATTCGAGTTGTGATGGTCCCTTACGCCGAGTGAAATTGGCTGCAGATGACCCGGGTCCAAACGGCTAAAGCGGCTTATGACCTTTTTAGCACGGGTCACCTGCAACTCTTTTGTGGTCTTCTCATTGGCGAATACCAAGTCCAACCTCAAACGAATTTACCCGCTATGAACAACTAAAAACAGTCAGGAAACGATCTCCTGAAATGCTATTCGAGGTTCTGCAGCGCGTTTTCGATTAGGAAGTATTACTTAATTGAGGTTGCAATATTGACATCAGAATCCCAAAATATTCCAGTCACATCAGGAGGCCGGCTTTTGAGCGAGCTTGTTTCCAGCCGCCTGCAAAAACAACACTCGGTAAAAATTAATATTTAGGTAGTATGCACTTTTCTACATGTATTTTCTTGTAAGTTCATATGTATCCTATAGAAAAATTAGTAGTAGTAGTAGTAGTATGCACTTTTCTAGTATGCAGTATGTAGCAGTATGCGGTATGTATGTAGTATGCACTTTTCTACATGGATTTTCTTGTAAGTTCATATGTATCCTATAGAAAAAGTAGTAGTAGTAGTAGTAGTAGTAGTAGTAGTATGAACTTTTCTAGTTTGCAATATGCAGTATGTATATAGTATGCACTTTTCTACATGGTTTTTTTTGTAAGTTCATATGTATCCTATAGAAAAAGTAGGCAAACGTCTTATAGTTATTTGGTAGCAAATTACCTCTTTTTCATATTTTGTACTTTGGAAAGTTATTTTTAAAATCTATTCTCAATAGGTCCCTCTCGAAAGCGGACTTTGATCTTTTCTGAAATTAATAAGGATGTCGAACGTAAGGTCTTTAATACTGGAGAACATTACAACTACTTACCATACTGCTAACACCGGTTTTAGCTAAAGACCCAGACACGCGCTTTTCATTGGTCTTTTGAGGCTGCGAGCGATTCGGATGATCGGCGGTTCCTCCAGCGTTCCACGCTTTCAATCTTACTACACGAAATGGTTTCTATGAAAGAAGATTGAAATATTCTAAATCCTCAACGCACTGACCGCTCGAGCATAACTTCCCCTTCCTATGTTTGGCTGGCTTCAGAATGGGCGTTAATCAATATTGGTCCCTGATAGAAGCGAACAAGCAAGCTCCAGGAGGCATTTCAGAAGTACAAGATGTGATTGCTGGAAGCGTCGACCTCTCTGGCTTGGCGCAAAATAGGCTATGTGTTTAATTTGCGTCTCAGACCTAAACATCTTATGGGCGACTTATGCACTAATTAGGCCTGTTCAAACCCCTTTTGATCGTTTCCGCGCCCGTGAAGCTCACTAAACCGCAGCTACCCATTCACGCGCTTACTGGTTTTAAGTATCCTTGCAGCTAAAAAGAAAGCAGACTCATCAGCTTAAAATGTTCTCATCTTTAGTCCGTCTTCCTTCGCCCCTCTCCTACCAACCAATTTGAACAAGACTATGTTGCTGGGCTATTCGCCTCTCGTACAGACCGCCATGGGAACTGCACTCACCTGGGGCGTCACGGCCCTGGGTGCCAGTCTCTGTGTCTTTCAAACGCCTAACCGGCGAGCAGCCCAGAAGGTAAGGGACCCTCTGTGGGATTCTTTTATTCGCGCTCTAATGTACACGCAAACCGTTAACACATTAACCATGTTCTAGGGAATATATACCCTTTAAATAACTTCCCGAAGGTCAA